GTCTAAGCTGCACGATGCCAGTTGGGTGCCATCAGGTGAGAAGGTCACAGTACTAACATAACTAGTATGTCCTTTTAGAATGCGTAGATTCAGATCTAAATTCTCGATTGACCACAGCCGCACCGTCTTGTCATTGCTGCACGATGCCAGTTTAGTGCCATCAGGTGAGAAGGTCACACTATTAACCCTATCAGTATGTCCTTCTAAAGTATGTATCTTTTCGACATTGTAAAGGTAAATTTTCTTTCCACTAGCAATGGCAAGAGAACGTCCGTCTGGGGAATAGCAGCAGCAATAACAACTGTCCTCGAAATCTAATAAAGGAAATTCACCGAATTGCACGCCTGTCATGTTAGCATTGCTAAAATCTACACACCGCAACCATGCCCCTCTGAAATTAACATTACTTAAATCTGCCCCTTTAAATTGAGCGTGATCAAACAAGCCGTAACTTAAATCCGCTCCGGCAATACGAATGTTATTTAGATTCTTGCCGCTAAATACCATCCCAGTTTTATTTAAAATTGTTATTGCATTTGCAGCGGCGATTTTTAAGTCAGTGATTTCTTTCGATTTTTCAATGAAGTCATAAAGATTCTCTTTGAATTTGTTATTGTATAGTGTATCTTTAAAACTCTCACTCTGTTGCACATACTCAGCAAGAAAGCGAACAATTTCGGGATCGCTTGTTATTAATTTTTCTTCAAATGGTTCGGATCTAGTATTGCTACAAATCTCATCATAGATTGCTCTGGAAACAAAATATTTTAAAAAAGACATGTGAATAAACTGATATTGGGCACCATTGCGACTTAAAGGAGAGTTGTAACGTAAAAGTCGTGTCGCCGGATCTTTATCCCCAAAGAATTTGGAACGCCAGTCTTTGTCGTCTTTGTCGTCTTTGTCGTCTATGTCATCTGCGTCTGAATACTTCACTACTTCTTCATTGGCCTTAAACATTTCAATTGCCAAGCTTTTGTTAAACATCATGCAATGTTGTATAAAATCACCCTTATTCAATATTTTAAAGGCTTTTATTTCATCCTCTTTTAGTTTAATATAGTTTAAACGATCATATGATCGCTCAAACCATATCTCCACAAATTTATTATAAAAGGTCAAGCGTGTTATTGTTTTTTCTTGCTGATCCAAGTCTCGTGTGACATGTATATAAACTTTTAAGATAAAGGGGTTACTAAGTAGCTGATCTGAATAAGAAATGCGCTTTAAAACGGCTTCATATCTTTGTGCATTCCAAGATATCTCTTGAGAAATTCCTTTTTGTTTTTCGACGTACTTTCTAATATACTCTCGAATTTCTTCTTTGGAAAAAGGTGCCAGCCATATTTCCTGAAAAAGCCTGGAATTGTAATTGGGAATAAACTTTTGTTTATATTTCTTACTTAAGTATTCCGGTCGACAACTAATAATAACTTTAGCATCCCACTGAAAAAGTTTATTTTTATCATAAAAATTTGATTGCTGGTCCTTGATCCCATCATACCCATCCAATATAAACACAAATTTGCAGTTTTGTCTCAAGTTTTCAATTTCCTTAGAAAATCCTAACTCTTCTAAATATTTTTGAATTATTTTCTCAGTAGGATTATCTATAGTTGGAAGCGAAATAAATAAAGGGATAAGATCATCTTCTGACGAAAAATCCTCCCAAAGACATTGAGCGAGGTAAAGGTTAAAAGTCGACTTTCCCGCTCCAGCTTCACCTAGGAGCAGCAGAACCTTTTTTTCTGAAGTTAAGAAAGCGTCAACCTCGGACTTTAAGTCAAAAGAGCTTGTAGCATTTGGGGTCCATTTTCCTTTTGGTGGCACATATAAACCTAATGCGTTTTTAATCTCTTCGTCTTGTTCAAGTTCGTCTAAATATTCAGTTCTAATTTTTCCTAACTGCGCCAGCGGTTCTGTGGCATTTGACGCTAAATTCTGTGAAAGTTTAAGACGAGCCTCAATTAACAATTCGGACTTCCCATATATGGAATAATTGGATGCATTTTTTCCGGATGCTACTTTATTAATCATCGCTTTAGCATAATTTTTAACTTCTGGATGTCGTCCCCATTGGATTTCGTTTTGATAAAGATCATCTAAAAATTTAACCGCACTTTGTTGTATCCTTAAATCACGTTGTGTACATGCAATCTGTTCTAAGCGTTGGCATAAGCCTATTAAAAACCACTGGTTCTTATTATAAGGACTCTGACGAACAAACTGCTCGAGTTTATTCAACTGATTTTCTTGTATAAAAATATCTATAAATCGTAGAGCTAAATACCATTGCCTTGTCTGTTCAAACTCTACTCCTTGACGAATATTTTCTATTCCTTCTTTTAATGTTTGAGTCGTCTCAACTAATTCTCGAATGCGACTTGCAACCTCATTAAAACCTTCAAATGCTTCACTAAAATCTTTAAAGGTATCTAGTAATTTATTCGGGTCTAAACTTCTAACCGCGTTAACTAAACTAAGAGTTCCACTAGCAAATTTAAAAGTTCGACACATAACTTCTTTCCATAATTTTTCATCATTTGTAATGTACAACAATGCCTGGCAAGCGTAGTGAGCATAGTAAGATAACATCGGGTTTTCTTTTAATTCTTTAAGCTGTTGATATAATGGCGCATGCAACTTCTCACGATCGATACCTTTAACGCCTATCCGCACCATGGAATCTAATAATGGACAGATTGTTTGTAATAGTTCGCTAAGTTGAGCCTCATCTTGTTTATGCATATCTTCTATATGGGAATGTAAGACTTTTAACATTGCCACTAAATTCCCTGTGCTAACCTCCCCGGTAATCAGGAGAGAGTTGGGCATGTTTTGAATTACTTGAGTTAAGCAAATCAAATGTTTGGAATGTTGTAATGTTGATTTTTTAATTTTCCGAATACTTAATTCTAACAATTCTTTATAAATTTCTTTATTTGGAATGGATGCCAAGATGACGATTTCATTGATCATCTCTTCCGTTTTAATTTTTTTCTGAGCGAATAGTTCGATAGTCTCTAGAGCTAATTTTATTAGTTGTGACGCTTGTTCCTGAGTATGATTGTTAGGTTGCAGATAATAGGCCAAATATTGAGTGCTTCTAATATTATTTATGTCATTTATCTTCGGATGTGACTCGGATGTCACTAGAGGATCTTGGATAAAAAACTCTAGTTTTGGTAAAAAGGTCGGCGTTGTTGTCTCTATTAAAGATGCTGATGGACTGGTAATAGAACTTTCTACAGCTACGTTTTTTGTTTGCACGGGTTTTGTTGATGCTTCAGATATGATCAATGATTCGCTGTATTTCGGCACATACTTTTGAGCTTCTTTATAACAAGTATTAGCATTGTCCATTTCTCCTAAAAATTTGTAAATATCACCTTGTTCTACATAAGCTTCGGCTATGTGTCTTTCTACGTCATGAAATAGGGAGGATCCATGAGCCTTGAATTCTTCAATAGCCTTTTGATAAGTATCTAACGCTTCCTTTAGATGACCATCGGATTCTTGTTTTCTAGCATTTTCTAAATGGGTTTTACCCTTTTTGTAATGTTTGTCGAACATATTTATTTTAAAATTTTAAGTATTTTGAGGAGAAGGTCGACCTCAATAACTAAGTCGTTGTGCATTCTTCTGTAATTACATGGGTTTTTTTTGTACAAAAAAAGGTATTACAAAATATAGGATTCTGTTACGTACGGGACGACAGTGTAAGTGTCACCAAAAATCCATAGTCTCCTCTTTCAGCTATATATGTATTGTAACGGTGTAACGGCGAGTCCGTCGCTAACTCTAGCAGAGATTCGCATAACCGTTACTGGGTAAATGAATGAAAGGGTGATTTGAGGCGTGTTTGTATTTGACCGAGTCTTTATTAATTTCTCACTTCTATCTTCCGTGTCCCTCCTCTACTCCTCTATACTTTACATGTTATTTATACTTTACATTTGGCTATGGTGGCTTAGACATAATAATAAGTAATAATACAGCGACATGGCTAAAGCTAAATTACATAATTATTACAGCCGACTTACCATTGTCACGTCGATCGGTCATGTGACTAACGTCGCGTCCCATTTCTCCCTGTTACAGTATTTTGGCTGAATGGCAAACAAAGAATGTCAATAAGACTTTTTTTAAACCGATATAAGAATCACATCGCATAATGTTCAAAAATAAGATTCTACGTAAAAGTTAGGGACGCCGGCCCGGAAGAACGGTGTAGTCAAGATTTTTTCCTCATGATGTCGAGGGTTTCTGGTGTGTGATACGTTAATTTTCAAATTTAACGTGACTAATAAATAATATAGCATGTTTTAAATAATTGTGATCACATATCTGCTTTTTACATTTGCTGTAGACGGAAGTTATATATAAAAATATTGTAGGATTAGATGGGTAAAAGGATTAAGTATGGAACAAGAATGTCATCCTGACCATTAAAGAGAAAAAATTACAATCGAAACTTGGATAGTTGATACTGATATACAATATCTCTCTATAATGCCCTTAAAACAAATTTGAATTCTATCGATCGTTCCGAACTTACTTGGCGTGACCCTAAAGTAAATATGATGATTACTGATGATTCTGTATTAGTAAAAAATCTGGGTCAGAGACAACTGCTTAAAACCACGTGAGAGTATTAAATGCGTCCTTCCTACCTGATGTTCCGAATACGGTTAGAAATATTGTGCATAATAATGAGTGGAAAGAGGAAAGATAAAAATTAATAGAACGGACAAATCGTATATTATGTGTTCTGTACGTAATTGTATTTCGTGGAATGTGAATATCCAAAGATCTTTGTAACACTAATTTATAGTAAATTTTATTTTTTATATAGAGAAGGGATATTGAATAATCCGGCACTTACAACTAGTGAAATATGATGTACTCAATCAAAGTAAAGGAACTTATGTCACAAATATAATTGTAACTTTATTTCGAGCTAGTTTAGAGGATCTTACAAATGGTGGTATTTTTCTAAGTACGCGGAACGACAAGGTATGGCAAGTAAGGCTCGCAAAAGTTTTGGATCAAATGAAGAAAAATCTACGCAGACACATAAGACTCCAATAAAAAAAGGTCAGATGTTATGGTTATGGCAAAATATGGAGTAAGATTTTTGAAATTGCTTAAAATCATGGTTAGATACCTAGATATTTCATGTAGATAAATACCTTTTATAAAAAATACTCCTTGACACGTAGAACCCCATATTCATTTGCTTTTAACTCTTAGAAATATTATGATTGCGAATCAAAGTTTATTGATACAAGCTTTGGAGAAAGCCAATACACACCCATCAAGAAATGCTCGACAGAGTCCAACTGTTACTTCACCATTGCATAGTTATATATCATGTATTTTTATCCCATATTTTTTATTTGGTTAAAGGAACGTACAAGCTTCCAAAAGAAGCGCCTTATTTTTGTGTAATTTTTCCGAAATAATTTTCTTAGCAAAAGTGATCGACAAGTCTGATCGTGACATTTTGTCACGGGTTTTTTGTTTTTTTTTTCAATTCACTATTAGAATAATTTGTTGTTTTTATTTAGACAAAAGTGTCCTGATTTCCGCGCCGACAAGCATGAAGAACATAGCCAATATACTCGTAACCCTGCTAGTCTACTCAGTCACGAACAAACATCTCCGGAAATTATTAAACGCGCTTAATTTGTTACAGGTTAAGTATTACTTTTTTGGTGTTTTGTTGGTAGCGGACGTGTCTCAAAGGGCAATAGTCTTTTTGGATGGGGTTGCGATCTGCGTTCAACCACCCAACATCCTTGGTTGCGATCGGAGATGCTTGAGTTGCGACTCGGGTGGTTCCGTCCTGCTGAAATGTGTTCAACCACCCAATATTCCTGGTTGCGATCGGGAATACTTGAGTTGCGACTCGGGTGGTTGTTCCTGACGAAACGTGTTCAACCACCCAACATTCCTGGTTACGATCGGGAATGCATGAGTTGCGATTCGGGTGGATGTTTACACATTCGTTAATATCTACTACTTCTTATTTTAATTGGGAGCTTGTTGGCAGAGACTCGTTTCATACAAATTTGGTTTGATTTTTATTAATTGAAGGAAAAAAAGTCAAAATCGATTGGTAACTTCTGGAAGATGGCTAAGTTAGCGCAAGAGAAGAAAGTGGCAAATGAAATCGAACGTTCAGTTTTGTTGGTATGAGATATTCAGCAATATAACAAGGTACACAGAAAACGTAAATACCAACTTACCTATTATTAGAACAGGATGAACTTGCTACATCCGCTGTACACTCAATCCTTCAACGTGATAGACAAGAATGTTTGGTTCGAGAGAAAAAATATATTTTTTAGAATATAAAAAATAAAATAATAAGTTTTTTAAATACTTTATTAATAAATTTATCTTAAAATTTGATCTTAAAATCAAAAAAAGTTTGATTAAAAATTTTTTATAAATTTATATGTAAATTACAATTTTATAATTGGAAAAATAATTTTTATTATCTAAAAATCTTTTACAATATAATATACAAATAAATTTGTATTTTATATTGAATTTAGATTTTAACCTAAATCTTGAAAAAATTTTATATTTTATATTAAATTTTGATAAATTCTTTAATTAAAAACCAATTAAACAACTTAAAATTTAATAAGTTATTTTTTAAACATTATTAAAGTTCTTTTATTAACTGATTACTATCTCAAACTTAATCAATCAAATATTGCCAAATATCAAAACAAATTTATATAAATAAAACAGTACACAATAATTAACATAAACAAAACCAGCTTTGATAACAATAGTTAAAATAAAATTATACTACTAATCAATAGACCAATCACCTTATCAATCATTAATTATATTAATAAAACAATAATTATAACAACAAATCAAATTACATATATTTTATTATTTGTATTAATAAAGATTATACTTATAAGTTGAAAAAAACTAGAGAAACAGAATAACAAGCCTGGCCAGAGGTTCTCTTGGAAATATAATTTTTTTTCTAATAAATTTTATAGTAAAGCTTCAAAAAATACCAAACTAATATTAAACTGGTATTAGAATAATATTAATCTATAGTAAATTTAATATATAGAATGTAATTCACTTATATGAATTTATAGTAAATAAGTTTTGAACTGGTATTGAACTAGTATCAAAATGATATTATTAAAGGTTTTATTTTATGGTTTATTTAATTTTGTTTTAATTTTTAGTTATTTTAATTTTTGTTTTCAAATTTTTTTTATATCTTAACCATTTTTTTAAATAGATAAATATAGCTACTTAATCTACTGTATATTTAATAACAATATTGTTTAAATTTTCTTCAGTATTAGCTATTTATAATATTCATAGGTAAAGATCCTAACAATTCTCTTCGATTCTGTATTTGATTCTTAAGTTTATATTAAATTTAATAGGTGGGATATACTCCACCATTATTTTTAATAATGTTTCAAACCTTATATGATTCCTTGCAATTCTGTTTGATTCCAATTTTTGGAACCATATTCATAGATAGATTAGTATTTAACTTGTTATATGTTTTGTATCCAAAAGATATTATTTTTTTTTTAATATACAATATAGTATATTTTAAAATTTTTTATTTATTTATAACTTAAAAAGTTATGTATAGAAATTAATAAAAAAATATATTAAAATAAAGCTAAAAATATAAAAATTTTATTAATATATTATTAATAATCAATTCTTTCACCATTATTTTTAATTATTAATTCACATATCTTTTTCATTGAATCTCTAAAATTATTTAAAATCTTACTTGAAATTTTATTTTATTTTTCTATTATAAATTGTTCTAATTCTAAAATATTTTTTGAGAATCTTATTTTTATATTTTTTTTAATAATAACCTAAAGATTTTCAATAGAATTTAAATCTAGACTATTAGAAGGCTAATTAATAATTTCAGAAAAATTTTCATTTAAAAAAACTTTAATAATTTTACTTATATACTTGGAATTATTATTTTGTTGAAAGTATCCATTTTTTTTAAGTAATCTATCAATTTATTGTTTATAATTTTATAAAATTTTGATATAAAATTTTGTATTTATAATTTTTTTAAAATAAAAAAAAAAGTTTTTTTTTTTATATAAAATTCTTTTTATATAAAAATTTTAGTATAATCTTTAGATATTCTTTTAATTGGTCTTGTATATTTATTTATTATTTTTTTTTTTAATCCCGCAATCAAGTTGGTGTCATTTATTTATTTAATCATAAAGAATATTACAAGTTGAAAATCCATGCAAAGTATAAATTTCCCTGACCCAACTCACCCGTCTTTAGCCGAAGTCTCTAGATGCAATTTATGGGAGTGATAATGTTGTTCCCCTAGTAGATGAAATTAAGATTCCAAATTTCCAACAGGATCAAAACCTGCAGATCACTTCTATAGTCATGACCATAAACCCAAATTGTGTCACCCCCCTCTTGTAGTAACTACACAAGACCAATTAAAAG